CGGAAACAAATAATTTATACATCCAACACAAACAATAATCACAGGCAAAGGCAACTACGAAAGTTCATTGAGCAAGAGTGAGTGAGTGAGTCATCATGGTGAAGGGATTCTTTGTAAATAAGGCTGGCATGCCATATACTTTGCAAGAAATGTCATCCAATGAATAAGACAAATGCAACAATAAGTTTGTTCATTAAAATGTGAGGTTTTCCATGCACACTTGCGCTGTCCTGTCACGTTCATCATTCTAGTGTTATTTAGATACTTCAATCCGAGCGTAGTACCATGTATAACCCTCTCGTTTATGTTTATAGTATAATCGCGAAACATTTATTAATTCTTCTGTGATGACACAGTAATTTATTACCATGACTCCATTATTTTCCCCACCGTCCTCAATATTGTGTATTTCTCTGAAACTGATCTTCCCTAACCTACAACACTCTAAATACATGACAGTATTACATGACCAGGACATGACCATGTAAAACTGGTCCAGATCAGGGATCCAGAAATATTTCTTTGCCAATCGGACATTTGCATTTTGGTCACGCCCACCACATATTGGAGGAGATGGATGTTCATACATAAATAAAAATGTACTTACATTTTACACAACCCAAGTTTTACACAATGTTTTTCCTCCAAAAACGTTATCAGCTGATCACCACGAGCACATAATACTGGAAATACCAGTCAACAAATACAAACTGAAGAACGCAATATAATTCCATTTTAATAATATCTGGTCATAAAAACCTGTTCATTGTATATCAGACTTATGTTTGTAATTTATTTATATTATTTTTTTTTTATATTAATTTAATTAATATTATTAATTTTATTCAAAATTTCATCCAATATTGTTTACATTAACTTGGTGGCGAAATTGTGTGTGAAGTGATCGGTAGATTGCACAACTCACCGTTATTTACAGCAACCATCTGATTTCAAATCAGATATTCTGGCGCCCCGACCGATTTCCCCATCCCTGGTCCAGATGACAGCTCTTTTACACCCCCTCTAACTTCCTTTCTTCTATCACAGAGTGTTAGCCATCTTTCCAACCTCCCACTGGTTACAGAGCTTCATCACTATTCCTACAGTGTCTATCATTTAGTTACAATACATTGCTGGAAAAAACCTAAGGGCAGTAGAGTGTTGAATGAGTGTGACATGGTGATTATCCTCTAATCTTGAACCTACAGTTTTTGCATTAGGCCTAGCTTATGAATTATAAAACTTTCGGAAAGCTTTGCCCCTTGCCATTGAGGTGACCTTTAAACAGATATATCACGGCGTGTCAGCTTCATATGGGTTACGACAAACATAGTCACCTTTTACGGCAAGCATGGGTTGCTGAAGACATAAAATGAGAGGAAAGTGATGCAGGTCAGATGACCAAACGTGTTAGCGCTCCTTAAATCTCAAAACCACCATTTAGGTGTCAGAGAGATCCATTTAGTGGCGAGTTAATTTAGGCTACTAATCAATCTTCGGCGATGTAGAGGAGCTCTAGGCTCTGGATAACATGGTATAAGTGCATCATGTTCTGTCTGTACAACTATACAACTATGGCAGTGTCTCCCTGAACTCTGAACATGAACGAGTGAGTGAGTCCATTGGGTTTCATGCCGCTTTAAACAGCTTTCCAATAAATTATTGTATACCATGTCATCTTAATGTGGGAGGAAAGCCCGAAGTGAAGCAGGTCTCAGACGTTTACCACTTTGGTGAAACCCATGAGCACGGGTATGGTGCTGACAAACCTAGAAACATAATCGGGGCGAACTGGGATTCGAACCCACAATCATAGGTTTCTGGCGTGCCCAAGGGACGCAACTCTGATCAGCGAATCGCGGCGCCTTACACGACAGGGCCACCAGTGCCCCCCTCAAATGAGACTTGACTTAGGTTATTAAATGGCAGTCGTAGAATGTTTGATTGAAGTCGTTCAAAATAAAATATTAAGTATATAAATCTACCAGTCATTTAGCCTAACTACTGGCAAACAAACTTAAGAAAAATAATGACCTGATAATTGAACCTACAGATCTGCATAATCCATGCCTTTGATAACAGGGGTTCAAGGTTTGCTTATTGGCGCATTCAAGGGCACACGATAAGCATGAAGTCTGTGCCACAATCTACAGCAGTCCCCCTTCAATGGAAATGGATCCTTCCATTACTTACACAACGTCTACTGTCCTAACACATGGTGTTCACACTGTTTGTTTACCTGTAAAGGGTCAATGTCTGTTTCCAACACAGTAGCATCATTACAACATCTAGATCGGGACTAGGAAAGGCTTTAGATCCTGCAGCAAAGTCTACCCTACATTTACATCAAATCAACAAGTATATTCTGGACAAAAGTTGAATCTTTTTTAACAATTCATAAATTGCTAAGTATTGAATTCTTGGAACAAACATATCATGATGGATTAAATGAATTAAGTACAGCCAAATAATATGGAACCCATAAACTGTATGTGCTAACAGTCGTGGTGACGCTCTTATAGAAAACTAAGTTGTCCTGATAAGTAACAAATCATTGGAGTGTTGGTATAGGTTCTTCTCTCATGCCATGAATACGCCTCAAAAAAAGTTTCAGAACATCAGAATTTTTCATATAACTATAGTAACTTTGGCCATGACAGGTTAACTATAGTCATATAAAAAAAATCAGGTGTTCTCTAACCTTTTTTGGAGTAGTATATTTGTTGCATAAACTGACATAGGTAAATTGTTCATGATATTGCTATAGATCACCTTTCTTGAGCATTTACGAAGCAACTGGCTTCACATATCACAGTCTTAAATGTTTGGCAAGCTATAAAACAGATGTGTGTGTAATATCATTAGGCCAGACAAATGAATTTCCTTTATAGATAAGACAAAATTTTGTGAAAATAAAACAAAATATTGAATTATATATTTGATTGGAACTATACTTATAAAAATATATTGTGTAGTTTTCTATAAGGGATATTTACCCGAAATGAGTTAGCTGGGTTTAATGGAACATTGAACATTATTTCAGATATCTCAGGAGGCGTTCCCTTAATATTTCTGAAAACAAACCTGTCATTTACTACATTGGTTAAATCCATGTGCATGAGTATGGTGCTGACAAACCAAGGACACCAATAAGGGCAAATTGGGGATTTGAACCCATATCACTGGATCATGGCATGGCTAAGGGAAGCAACTCTGCACAGACAACTAGGTTACCCTTATCACCTTAAATATATTGCCATGCCTCCTGGCTTACTGACAAACACAACACAAGATAGATCGGTCTGGCCTATATAGACATGCCTAATATGATCAAATTGGGATTTGGCGATTTGGCTTTAACCTGAAATTTTGGCTGATTGATGAATGCTTGTAAATATTGACAAAATACCACAGTCTAACACTGCAGAAGTCAAATGACCTGATCCAACAGTTACAGCCCACAGAAGCAAAGCAGTGACGTTCATCCTAGTCATGAAATATTTGTGTTGACATGGCAACATGTATACTTGATCCAACCTGACGTGTAGAAGGAGCAAACTGCTCCAGGTTTCCCAGCTACATACAAGATGCTGAGATGCTTACACGAAATGTTATAATTCACAATTAGGCCTACCTTATTCTTAACACATTCGTCAGATACTTACTCAGGTACAGGACATAAAACAGAACAGTCAAAAATGGCAAATGGCAGTTAACATTAATTGGGTATTTTCGCTGGACAAAATGTGAGAGTTGGGCATGAGGCTGCCTTGAACAGTATTACAGCTACCTCACAGCTTAATGGCAGCCTAATGTGAGAGGAAAGACAATTGTGGCAGATTGTAGATATTTTTCATCCATATTCGAGAGTGGATCATAATCAAGGCAATTCTGGGATTTGAACCCATGATCAGTGTTTGTTTTTGTTTTCTTTGTTTGTATGTTGTTTAACGCTGCACTCAGCAATATTCCAGCTATATGACGGTGGTCTGTGAATAATTGAGTCTAGACCAGAAAATCTAGTGATTGACATCATGAGCATCGATCCACGCATTCGGATCGATGACATGCATCAACTAAGTCAGCGAGCCTGACCATCTGTTAGTCGCCTCTCATAACAAGCATATTCCTCAAAGATCAGGGATCCTTGCATGCAATAAGGGATGCAACTCTGCACAGCCAACTGTGAAGCCTTCAATTACTGTGCCACCTATGCTCTATACATACACAAACATACTCCTGTCATGTGACTTTGGTTTGAAAGAGAACAGTTAAATGAACAGCCACAAAATACAGTTCATTTAATTTTGCACTTTCAAAAAACTTGAACAAGCAGCGCCATGGTCAAAACAGAAAACAGTTGGTTCCACTGAAACAAACTGTCCACCATGAAAATCAGTAGTCAAGTGTTCACTGTTCAATTGTGAGTGAGTTGGGTTTAACGACGCTTTCAACAGTAATACAGTTATATCACGGCGTGTCAGCTTAATCTGGGAGGAAAGCCCGAAGTGATGCAGGTCTCAGATGTTTACCACTGCGGTGAAACCCACGAGCACGGGTATGGTGCTGACCAACCTAAAAAACATAATCGGGGGGAACCGGGATTCGAACCCACAATCATAGGTTTCTGGCGTGCCCAAGGGACGCAAGTTCACTGTTCAAGGTACATGTAGAAATCTCTTCCCAGGCTGATTAAAATTCAATATCTTATGATTATCAATGACATAAAAAAAAAATTAGGAGCGAGTGAGTTGGGTTTAACGCCGTTCTAAACAGTACCGGTATTCCACTTATATCACCATGTGTCAGCTTAATGTGTCGAGGAAAGCCAGAAGTGATGCAGGTCTCAGACGTTTACCACTTCGGTGAAACCCACAAGCACAGGTATGGTGCTGACAAATAGAAACATAATGGGGGCGAACAGGGATTTGAACCCACAATCATAGGTTTCTGGCGTACCTAAGGGACGCAACTCTGCACAGCGAATCGCGGAGCCTAAGACGACTGGGCTACCCGTGCCCCCTCCAAATAAACAGTTGTGTACAATCAACCTGGGAAAGGGCCTCCCTACATAAATGTATTCCTTGATGAATAAATAGTACAGTATTTGACTACCGTTGGAATTGGAAGATTAAAGTAAACTTATGTGACCCACAAGTTCCTGTATCGAAAACTTCAGTGACCCACAAGTTCCTGTGTCGGAAACTTGTGAGACCCACAAGTTCCTGTGTCGGAAACTTGTGTGACCCACAAGTTCCTGCAATGTGTCAACACTCACACACAAATTCTGAAATGTCCTTTTTTATTTTTCATTTTTCCTATCTTCCAACTAGGATTTTTTCACAAAAGAAATCTGTAAACCACAGGATTAAAATAGTCTGGCCTAACCTAAGTAATGCCGTAATTCATTGAAAACTTGTCGTAAGAGGCGACTAATGGGATCGGGTGGTCAGGCTTGCTGATTTGGTTGATGCATGTCATCGTATCCCAAATGCGTAGATCAATGCTCATGACGTCAATCACTAGAATCTTGCCGAGTGCAGCGTTGAACAAGAAATAAACAAACAAATCATTGAAAACTAAACTGACAAGGGAGGAACGCTTTCTACTCCCCCCCCCTGCCCCGAAGAATACCAACCAACACAACGGGGCACACATGGATTTCGTCTCTCTGATACGATGTCAGTGTTGGTTGTGTTCATTTTATGAACATTTCCTGCTTCCTATAAAATGTGAAATTTGCCAATAAAAAAGACTGACAAGCAAAAATACCACAGAAATATTTCCTTTGATAAGCCTCATCAAACATGGTCCAAACATGGTCCAAACATGGTCCGAACGAGTCCTTGGTCCACATAAACATGATTAACCATGATAGGAACTATTGCACATAGAAAATAGAAATATACAAAATTTGATGTACATATTCAAATGTTCACTTTGAGTGTCGCACTGAATGGGAACATGATCTAGATAACCATAACACGACAAATGGGACTTCAAGGTGCTGGGATCTTTGTCTTCAAACCAGGAATACCTTTAAATACTGACATATATACGCATAAGTCCTCAAGGTCAAATCACCATATAAACATAGCACTTTGGAAGTAACTTGTATGATTTAATCACTAGTAGTTAATATAGAAAGGAGAGTTTGATAGCGAAATGGCATACAATTTCATTATTTGAATCAGAATATCAGATTCCTGATTCAATTCAAAGTTGCATTATGCAATGTTTGACAATTAAACGAACTCATACATTCTGTTGCTCCCATAACATGACAACATGATACTTTGGGTACAATATTGAAGCTCACCTTGCTTTTATGATTCCAAATCCAATATTTCATGGCCTATTATTTCATCATTTCATATTAATATGGAATGGTAATATCATAAATAAATAAATGTTTAATGTGAAATAGTAGAAATTTTATCAAAGATCAAAGTAAATACATGTAAACTCTGTTTCACAAAATGAATGAGTCAAAGTTACAACATAAATAAAAGGAAGCTTTTAACATCTAACACACACCCTAGCCTAGTTTCCATACATTTCTTATATATCAAATCTTATATAGAAGATAACTGGATTCAGTTTTTGAATGACAACAAGTTAGCCTGCCTCTCACATAACCTGTTTTAGCAGTCCTTTGAGTGAGTGAGTGAGGTTTTACGCCACTTTTAGCAATATTCCAGCAAATATCAAGGCGGGGGACACCAGAAATGGGCTTCACGCATTGTACCCATGTCGGGAATCAAACCCACACTAGGCTACCCAACCACCCATCAGTACTTTTAAGCATCATATTTCTACTGAAGACAAACAAAACAAATCTTCAACATGAGTGCTTTCATTTTTTACATGAGGACACCTGTACGAAATTTGGAAGATTAATTTCTTTTTTCACTGTTTCAAACCTACAATTTCTTTCTCTGAATATATTAAAAGGAAAAGATGAACCATTTCATTTTTTTTACAAAACACTTTTTTCAAGACAATTTTTTTCTGTCTTTACTTTTAAGCACATATTTTTGATTCAGTATTTTCTGGAACAAATAATGTTTTTCCAAAACACTCCCAGCCCCCTCCTACCCAGCCCTGAATATCATATGATCAGTCCCTAAGAATATCACACATCCAAGGGCCTATTCACTGACATTTCAGATGCTTAAGGTTCATATAAGCGAAATGAAACAATCAGATAAATTGGATAAAGTCATCCTCTCTGTCCTCACTATCTTAACCACAAACTACATAAAGACTGAATACTGAGTGAGTGAGTATGGTTTTACGCCGCTTTTAGCAATATTCCAGCAAGATCACGGCGGGGGACACCAGAAATGGGCTTCACACATTGTACCCATGTCGGGAATCGGACCTGGGTCTTCGGCGTGACGAGCGAACGCTTTAACCACTAGGCTACCCGACCGCTCCCTGAATACTGAGACCTCACAAAGCAAGACAAAGGTGAAACGTAATTTCTATTTCCAAGAGAGCAAGAAACACAACACAAATTCAAAACATGTAAGGACACAGGGTCCCGTTCCACAAAGCTATCTTAGCGCTACGACTGTCATAAGTCAATGCTAAAGTATGGGAGTTGCGGTCATCTTGGCGCTAAGATTGCTTTGTGGAAAGGGGCCCAGGTTATACAAATAACTTTAGGCTACGACTGTCGCAAGTCTACGTTAAGGTATGCAAGTTTCGATCCCAAAGATCGCTTTGTACAACGGCACTCAGAACTTTGTGAACTCTGACCTCTGACCTCCACAATAATCACCTCCAAATAGATGACCAAGTGTGTAGTATTCTTGGGCTTCGTGGGACAAACACTCATTGAAAATACAAAGCATTCAAGCATCAAATGCACATTCACACCACAGTGGCACGTTACAGTTATACAAATATAAATATACCCTTGAGTAAGTGTCATGAATTTGAGCCGTATTCTAAATACTACAATCACACATTCATGAGTACAAAAACCATCTTCCACAAGAATTTGTGCAAGTTACCATGGCTATGTGTCATCTTTGCATAGACTCTAGAAAATATATAATATATTTTGAAAATATCAATAATCTCTATTTACATATATACACAGTGAAGCCCTGACTCATTATACAATTTTTGAAAAAACCCAGGTAATTCAATTTTATGACCGGGTAAGTAACGCCAAGACTCTTCTGGGACAGTATGTGGTTACATTTTGTTACAAGTCCGGTGCATTACAAATCACATGACTTTCACATGATATAGATCAATGTCACAATACCATATCTCTCATCTTATTGTGCGTGTCCTGGTATCATATTCTCCCATTCCAAAATCATCCATGCAAGTCAAGGATTGGATCACAGACAAGCTTTTATACTACCAACCATAAACTATTTTCTCAGCAGTTAGTTTTTGCAACTCACAAGGTTAACACTTGATGCTGTCTATAACACTGCCACCTGCAGAGTCCGACAAACAGCGAAAACAATCACACTTACCGTATTTGCCATATTAAACACCCTGTCTCTATTCAGTTTCAAGACCAAACTGCATGTAATCTTCAAAAGCAACATTTTCAGCCTGATATGGTCCATACGAGCCATTATTTTGTTTTAATATTTATAATAGTATTTATTTTCAGACAGGTGTGTATACATGCAGATAATGAGTTTTGACATCTGTCAGGATGTGACAACACTACTAGTATGTAAACACTGGATATACGTACCATGTCAACAAATTCTAACTCTGTCTCTTATTCATCCCTTTCTTACAATATTTCATCGCGTGCTCATCACCTTGTCTATCTTCTTATAGCAAAAGTTTTAGTTACATCAGCATTAAATAATGTTAGTTCACTCCTCGATCTGTTATCAAATTTAGACATATTGTGAGTTATTAAAAAAAGCATCCAACTCGACTTAATTTCTAATCACCCATGGTCCTTAATATGGCGAATACATTATCTATACTATGTACTGTAATGTAAGTACAGTATAACATGCATATCTAGTCATATCATGCACTGCAGTGCACATCTGGCCAATATCAGACACATATAACTCTGATATCCACTAGAGCGTATCTAGCCACCATATACAACGCATACAATAATGCATATCTATTCACAACATGTACTGTAGTGCATATCTAGCCATAACGCACCTTAAAGTATGTATAGCGCAAATGTACTTAATCTAGCCACTATAATATATATCTATCCACAATATGCTTAAAAAATACATCAAGTTAGTACATCCACTCTTGTGTGTATCTGGCCACAATACACCATAATGCATATCTAGCAATAACAAACTCTGTAACAAATCTAGCCGTAACATCTACTAAAACGTGGGTTAATACATGAAGCTAGAGCATTCTGTTCCACAAATCCGAAACCTATGTTCTGTCTTCCAATTTATGCTGCTAGTACATCTCAAGTCTGTTGTTGGACCACACAAACCTGGAATTAATACACACTAAGCAATGCCACTATAGCTCTGACGCATGTTGGCAGAAGCCATTGACAAACACATCCATCTTGAAATCATCCATCATAATACAGAAAATGATTAGATCACTGAATTGCCATAATTCTACTAAGCTGAGGTAGAACTTGACCTTGGAGAGGGGTCACATCAATTCGTTCACCATCAACCATAATATTCCCATTTGACGAAGATGGCTCGAACCTAAAAGCTAGCACTTTGACAATTTCCACATGAGGCGAATCAACATGTCCGCCTTCACCGAAGGACAGAAAGAGATTTAAGAGCGTATTCCGTGGAATTCCATCTCTGATAAACATAAGATACATAAAGCCGTCACTAAGATGAGCATGAGGTGCTGCAAGCATGTCACTTCCAAGATGGGTCTGGTATAGAGCACTGACTGACACGAACCCATCCTCTATAACAACCCAATCCTCGGGAACTGGTTGATCTAGCGGCGGCAGAAGAGCGGCAGACAGGTTGTGGTTCTCAGCCCTCTTAGCCGAAACCGTTTCTGTTTCAATTTCAAATTGGCCACGGCTTCCCGAAGCTGTTATGGAACTCTTCTTCAATTTCACATTATTTTCCAAGCTCTGATTTGTCCCGCCAGATGGTTCATTCGTGGAGTGTCCGTTTGTCGTAATGTTTATTGGTTTAGGAGTTTGTATGCCGTCTCCACAGCCGTCCGGGGAGAAGTCCTCGCTGATCTCCATGCTTGACCTGGTAGCGGAATTGGACAGAGTGGAATGTTCCTGAGATTCTTGGAGGTTTGGCATCTGTTCTTGATCTCCCATGCTGCTGTTCATCTCACCCATACTCCCGTTGGAGTTGCTGAGGCTGAGCTGGGAGCTGCTTGGGTTCAGGTCCGAGCTGACAAGGTCCTGGGAGCCGAACGCTGACAGTCTATCATTGCTGCCTGAACTCAGTGTGCTTTTACTGTTACTGCGACTCCGTAGTGAAAATCTACGGATCTTGGTCACAACAGCATTCTTACTTTCTCCATTCACAACCTTGGGACTGTATTCAGCAACTGGCAGGAAGGAGATTTTTCCTTTGTACGAGCGTAAATCTGAAGAACAAAGTGATCATGGAATATAAAAATTGACAAAAGGACTTTATGCATGTTCAAAATATTATGTCTCATAAAAAAGATAAGACCCTATTTAATCATACCTACCTGCTTATGTTCAGCAAATTGCCTATTGAGAGGTGAGGATGAATTTAATACTGTGAGTAAACCAGAGCTGTAGCTCACCTGACTGACTGAATGAACACACTGGCGGATGCAACTGTCATGAAGTCACGATACTGGGGTAAACATACTGTTAGTGTTGACATCAACCGAATACTAGAAAACCAATGAGTGAGTGAGTGAGTTTGGTTTAATGCCGCTTTTAACAGTTATATCACAGCGTGTCAGCTTAATGTGAGAGGAAAGCCCGAAGTGATGCAGGTCTCGGACGTTTACCACTTTGTGTGAAACCCACGAGCACGGGTATGGTGCTGACAAACCTAGTAACGTAATCGGGGCGAACCGGGATTCGAATCCACAATCATAGGTTTCTTGCGTGCACCAGGGACGCAACTCTGCACAGCGAATCGCTGGCCTTAGACGACTGGGCCACCCGTGACCCCAGAAAACCAATGACCAAACACAGGATGTCTTATATGGTTGAATGGAAACCAAATTATACATTGATGAAGATGTGATGATGAACAAACATTCGAGATCATTGTTGGAATCAAACGAAGACTCAGATTCATTTCTCCTTTGACATTTCAGGGAAGATGCTAAGTGAGTGAGTATAGTTTTACCGCAATTAGCAACATTCCAGGAATATCACAGTGGAGAACGCCAGGAATGGGCTTCACACTTTACCCATGTGGGGACAACCCGGGTCTTCAGCATGACAAGCGAACGCTTTAACCACTAGGCTACCGACCACCCCTGCTAAAGAAAGCCTCCACAGTTCTGTTCAATGCCAGGATGTCAATCCATATCATGTCAAACCAAGTCATGACTTGTAGAGGCCATTGAACTGGTTTGTTTGTTTGTTTGTTTGTTGGTTGTTTGAATGAAGCAAGTCCTATGAAGATTCCGGGTTAGAGTAGGTCTTCAGCGACCCATGCTTGTTGTAAGAGGCGACTAACGGGATCAGGTGGTCAGGCTCGCTGACTTGGTTGATGCATGTCATCGTACACCAATTGTACAGATCGATGCTCATGATGTCAATCACTTGACTGTCTAGTCAAGACTCGATTATTTATAGCCGGCTGTCATATAGCTGGAATATTCCTGAGTGCGGCGTTAAACAACAAACAAAAAACAAACACACTCACTCATCAATATTCCTGCAAAATGAGGGCAGCCTGTAAATGATCAAGTATTGACCAGACAAACCAGTGATTGACATTATGAGCAATGATCCATGCCGTCGGGCCCGATGACATGCCATCAACCAAGTCTCCAATCCTTACCAACTGATCCATTAAATCACCCATACGATACTGGGGACCTATTCCACCCCGGAGTCGGCTGGTACTCACTAAGAATGCGCTTGATGGCCCCGAGAGTGAACCTGGCTTCCCCGATACTGCGGTACTTCTCACTCTCAAAGTCGATGTCGGCCATGATGCCCCATGTGACGGACAGGAAGGAGAAGATCCGCTGTGACGGAGTCTGGATCAGCACCAGGTCCATGGGCACGACCTTGTGCTTGATGAGGACAAAGGTCGAATGCAGCACAGCATTCATGTCCACTGGCTCTCTGAGGAAGTAAAGGCAATTAGGACGACTTCGAAAAGATGTTCGTACTCATACCTTTAATCGACATAAACCCGTAGCACAAAAGGGGTAAAAAACCTGGACATGTCAGCACATGTAACAAGGTAGCAACAGATAAGGGAAATCGCAATGTGTGTCCCTTCTTTCTATACTTGATACACCAGACAGCCCTACTACTTCCATCTTCCCGAGGCAAGCGTGTCCCCTATCAAAGCCTAGTTTCTACCCTTTCCACATCAAGGCCACTTTTAATGGCTAAGCCCTGGCGCCATTACGCGTAGATCATGAGTTGTGCCCCTTGTACTGAAAACGGGATATCCAATCAGATCGCTGTTCTTAACTCATATAGCTTCACAAAGATGGAGGCTACCATAGGCAACAACCTAGTCAATCAGATAACAGGAAGATGTACTACTGCATGTCACATGTGAATCAACATTCATTTACAGAAATCCATTGAAAAACCTGTTTAAAACAGCGATCATATATACAAAATGCTTTCTGCATACATCTATTTTGAAACAACATCAAGTTGAGTTGTCAAATCTACAGTATAACATACAACTGTCAAACACAATCAGTTTAACCACTTTGTCAAATGTTTCATTGAAGCAGACGGTTAAAGCACCAAGCTCCTTACCCTGCTGAATAGTTGATGGAGCAGCAGAGAGCATTGCCGGAGCCACCAGGAATACATCCCACGGGAATCTGGATCGCTTTCTCCCAGTCCGGCCTCTCCATCAGCCCATTGATAGCCTGGAATCCAATTGAAATTTACTTTAATAAAAATTCATTATAAAGAGCAAAATTTATAAAAATTTGTGGCCAAATTGTTTTTTGTATATTCTGATAGAGAAGTATCTTGTCAAACCAAATTCAATTTTTCAAAGGCTGTGATATTAATTGAACTTGATGCTGAAAATACCCACCCTCATTCATTAACACGTGCAGACAATTGTCGCAGTTGTGTGTGTCACTATTCACAGATGTTTCGACACATAAAATGAGTTCTGTGTTTTGTTTGTTTGTTTGTTTGTTGTTTAACATAGCACTCAGCAATATTCCAGCTATATGATGGCGGTCTGTAAATAATTGAGTCTAGACCAGACAATCCAGTGATTGACATCATGAGCATCGATCCATGCACATTGGGATAGGATGACATGTATCAACCAAGTCAGTGAGCCTGACCACCCGATATCATTAGTCGTCTCTTACGACAAGCATAGTCACCTTTTCGGCAAGAATTGGTTGCTGAAGACCTATTCTACCCCGGATCTTCATGGGTCAAGCGGCCTGTATGTCTAGTTAACAGTTGAAATATCCGTACCTCATATATCAAGCCATCGCCGGACACGATGACCACTGCATACCATTCACTCAGGGCCAGTGTCAGCAGCAGGTCTCGGGCGTGGCCGGCATACTCTGAAATACAGGACGAGTCAAACTGAAGTGCCCCTCTGGGGAACATATTTCTGAAGTATTGATTTTGTTCGTTGTAAATAACGCTGCAGTCTGAAATATTCCAACCCTATGGAGGCTGCCTTGATATGATCGATTCTGGACCAGACAAACTAGTGATTGATATTATGAGCAACAATTCATGCCGATGGGTTACGATGACCTGCAGTCAACCAGATCACCAAGCGTGACAAAACTGATGCATTTAGTCACCTTTTAAGACCAGCATAGGTTACTTCCAACCGATTCTAACCCGAAGTCCTTACGAGTGACCATAGTTTTGACTCTCTATTATCTACTCCAGGTGCTTTTTCTTACAAAAATTTCATGCTAGGGTTAAAAAAATAAAAGAATTGATTCTGAGGCAATGACTTTTGAAAATATAGTGAGGGTGGGCGTTTTTGTTGTTGTTGTTGTTTTAACCAGTATGTAACCAAATAAACGGTTGTGTACCATCAATCTGTGAAAGGGCCTCCCTCCCTACATAAACAAACATACAAACTCCTATAGCCGGCATGACCATAACACGAGATGCACAGTAAAGCAGTGCTAATGTACAGGGAAGTAACTGTGTGCTATATGGACCGCATTGTCTTTAAGTATCTGTTTTAAGTATTTGTTTGAAAATGGAAATAAAAACGAAAAGTGCGGCAGACTTTACGACCATGTGGGTGGTTCCTGAGAACCATGACTAATATTTTTTTAGCCTTATGTGAGCAGACATTTACACTGATCATTGCTCACAGGAGCTTTCAACATCAAAGGTAATATTTTTTGATAAATTCTCTGATCATATGGACTTGTTGACAAACTGCGGACTCGTAAATAACTTGCTTGCTTCCATCATGTCATGGAAACATGGATCAATAAAATTGTTAATGCCGTGGTCAACACAGTTGTTTAAAGCGTTGATTTGTCACTCAAATACTAAGAACTCTACTTTTGTGTCTTATAATTGTTAATGCTTTATTCTCTCGTTTATTACACCAATATAATCCATTAAACCATTGATAACAACACACAAATATTCAAGAAAACCCAGCCAAACCAAGCAATGTCAAGCCTCTGTGGGTCTGATGGTAGATGCAATCCTGGGGACATATACCGCAAAAGGTTTAACACTTAAAATTAAAAAACAAAACTGGTTCCAATTAATTAGCTGCCATTTCATAGCATGTTACCATGAGAAATTCTATTGTTGTTCTGTCCATGTTTTTTCATACACTGTATTAGTAAATATCAATTCCAAATTATCCAAAAATACCACTTCTCTGAGGTAAGACAGCATGTTACCATGAATAAATACCATTGGTCTGACCACATTTGTTCTTGCAATGTATTATTTGTTTGTTGTTTAACGCCCCACTCAGCAATATTCCAGCTATATGATGGCGATCTGTAAATAATCAAGTCTGGACCAGCCGATCTAGTGATTGACATCTTGAGCATCTATCTAAGCAATTGGGATACGATGACATGCATCAATCAAGTCAGCAAGCTTGAACACCCGTTAGTAAACCTCTTATGACAAGATGGTCGCCTCCAAGAACTGGAGTGAGATACATTATAGAAATGATGCAGCAAATATTGTGACACACCGGTTTGTTATTGTGTGCATAACATGTATAACAGCTCCTATCAGTGAACAGGGTATTCCATTACAATGATTGCATGTATCATTTGGTGCCAGGTATCGGCAGGTCTGCCACCAGATACTTCTGAACAGGACCTTCAAAACAACTGTTGAGTTTCATATAGCCACAAGACTCTATAGCTCAGGAATATCTTTTTTCAACATTTGCAAACATAAAGGTTTCAAAGATAATAAAGATCATACTACAAGTTAGGGCTGGGACAAGTCCAAATTTACTGCCTGGGTACCCACCCCACTATTACCCGACCCTACCCGGGTACCTGCTGTAGGTCTCAAGAGTTGGGTACAAAATGTCCAATTGGGAATAGTTTGACCATAGCCCTGGCAAAATGTATTTAGATACACATACAAAACGATCTGGTCATTCAAGAACTGAAGTTGTCTGAAGTTTTATCTTTATTCAAACCAATAAAGGTCAGAAGGAATGGGTGGATAGTCTGGAAAGAAATGCGAACATTAGTGACTTGTAGTGTAACCATAGAGTTCTAGATAATTTTTGTCATTAACCAATATATCACTTGACTAACCACGGGTCCGACTCACCTGACCGAGTACCAATCACTACACATTTATTTAATGCAAATAATCACCAATCTCACTCTATATTTATCAGGATATGAAACAAATATACTAGGATGAAAACATGTTCCGCCTACCTAGTTGTTTTGTCCAAACCATATTCTTTAAGCCTTTTCATGGAGTCCAACAATGAAGAAATATTCCTGGCAAGTATTTCTACATCTGACAAAATCAGACACTAGGAATGATAAAATCTGCTCAACAAAATTAATCCAACAAAGGAAAATAGCTCCAATTTCATCTTTTGAAATAGTCAACAAAGGAAATATTACAGAACATATCCTTTCTGAAGACAAATCGGTCCATCTGGGACCAAATGTAACAACTTGCAAAATATAGGAAAGCAATTTTATTCTACCATTCATTCATTCATTCATTCATTCATTCAGTGAGTGAGTGAGTGAGTGAGTGAGTGAGTGAGTGAGTGAGTGAGTGAGTGAGTGAGTGAGTGAGTGAGTGAGTGAGTGAGTGAGTGAGTGAGTGAGTGAGTGAGTGAGTGAGTTGGGTTTAACACCGCTTTTTAACATTTTTCCAGTTATATCACGGCATGTCAGCTTAATGTGGGAGGAAAGCCCGAAGTGATGCAGGTCTCAGACGTTTACCACTTCGGTGAAACCCACGAGCACGGGTATAGTGCTGACAAACCCAGAAACATAACCACTATTCATAGAATCGAAGTATCCCTGTCAATTGAAATGCTAGTAATCACATTCAAACTATGCACATAAAACCTGTACATGTTCTACAATGATAATTTTGGCTCATCCTTATTCTGAAATAGAAGAAGCCTGATGGAATTGTGGCATATAAGATTACTATGATAACAATGTATGTTAATCTTGGCCTCACACATCTGCACATGTGTCGGTATCCACACTACATAATGGCTGTTATGAAACCACAGGGTCAGGACTTAGCTGTCAATGACTCGCATCACATCATGCAGATAAGAGAGGTCACAATGTGGACCAAAGCTGACTGCCATGCATAGCAGGTATAACAAGTGCCTGCTATGTCTACATAAATATTAGGATAGGGACAAGCATGAAAGTAAGGCCATGCTAATGTTTACACTAAATGTACTGAAAACTAGGGCTGGGACGAGTCTTTACAACCCGGGTACCACCCCCCTATTACCTGACCCTACCCGGGTACCCGCTATAGGTCTCAAGAGTTGGGTACAAATGTCCTATGGAAATAGTTTGACCGTAGCTCTGGCAAATCGTATTTAGATACTTGTATAAAACGATCTGGTCATGCAAATACTGGAGCTGATTGAAGTTTTATCTTTATTCAAACATAAAAAGTCAGAAGGAATGCGTGTATAGTCAGAAAGAAATACGAACAGTAGTCACTTAAAGTGTAACCATAGAGTTCTAGATAGTTTTTGCCATTAAACAATATATCACATGACTAACCACCGGTCTGGGTAGTCCTGTGGGTACCAGGGTCCTACTCAGTACCCACCCGATCCGAGTACCCGAGTTACCCATCCCAGCCCTACTAAAAACATACACACTGACTATGACGGTTGTTCTATCGACTATTGTATCTTCCATAGTTGTACATACCACACACACAATTCAACACTGACCAAGTTTGTTATCTTCTGTTTGTTCACCTGAAGCAATACGATTGTGCATCAAATACGAAACAGCTATTTGTCCCAAAACTTGTTCTCAAGAATGGGAAGTGTGCATTATTTACAAGGAAACTTGGTAGACATACAAAAAGCATAGCACTATGATCGCTAATATAAATAACAGAAGCTACAGCCTTGTAAGGATTCCAGGCCAGGCCCTCTCGGTCTGTTCCACAATGCTATCTTAGCGCTAACCTTATCGTAACTCCCACACTTTAACATCCACTTATGACTGTCGTTGCACTACGATCGCCTTATTGGAACGGGACCCTGTCGCTTTATCTGACTCATCTTAAACTGTTGCAAATCCAGTACTGTATCATACACTTGCGATAATCATAGTGCTTCCTGTGGCTACCACACACCTACCTGTGACTTGCATCTTGTACATGATCTCACCTCCTGCAGCATCGGCTTAACTTCCTGTGGCTACCACACACCTACCTGTGACTTGCATCTTGTACGGGATCTCGGCCTCCTGCAGCATCGGCTTAACTTCCTGTTGCAAATCCAGTACTGTATCATACACTTGCGATAATCATAGTGCTTCCTGTGGCTACCACACACCTACCTGTGACTTGCATCTTGTACATGATCTCACCTCCTGCAGCATCAGCTTAACTCCCTGTGGCTTCCACACACCTACCTGTGACTTGCATCTTGTACGGGATCTCGGCCTCCTGCAGCATCAGCCTAACTTCCTGTGGCTACCACACACCTACCTGTGACTTGCATCTTGTACGGGATCTCGGCCTCCTGCAGCATCAGCCTAACTTCCTGTGGCTACCACACACCTACCTGTGACCTGCATCTTGTACGGGATCTCGGCCTCCTGCAGCATCGGCTTAACTTCCTGTGGCTACCACACACCTACCTGTGACCTGCATCTTGTACGGGATCTCGGCCTCCTGCAGCATCAGCTTAACTCCCTGTGGCTACCACACACCTACCTGTGACTTGCATCTTGTACGGGATCTCGGCCTCCTCCAGCATCAGCCTAACTTCCTGTGGCTACCACACACCTACCTGTGACTTGCATCTTGTACGGGATCTCGGCCTCCTCCAGCATCGGCTTGACCTCATTGTTGAAGATCTGCAGTGCCTTCCCGGGGCCGCTGTGGGGGTTGATGAGGACGAGGAGTCGCCCGGGGGCTGGGGGGCAGCAGGAGTCTAGATCTGGGGACACACAGTGAGTGAGTGAGTTAGGAGAGTGTCATTCCAATCTATAAATCTCATAGTAGATACCACGAACCTACCACCTCAACTGTGTGGTGAACCGGAAGGATATCTGTGCAAGTTTATTCATGAACGAGCTGAGTTTAACAGTATTACAGTTCCATTTTGTGTCATTTTAAACGGAAACAAAAGCCCCAAATGCCACGTTTACAGATCTCATGGGAACTCTATTCTGGAATAGAATTTGTCTCCAGCAACCTATATGCTTGTGGTACGAGGCTTCTTAATGGATTGGGTGGTCAGGCTTGATAATGTTGAATCACAGGTTTGTCTGATTTTCAGAAGAGGCAGTGCAAAGATATGGTAAACACTTCATTCCTGCTGATTGACTTTCTGATAGTTAGGGTTTTTTAATCAAGTAATTTTAGCCTTTGTTGAGAAATTTTCAGTAGGACAAAAAGGGTCTGTTATCTATGGAAGAGGAGCTGTGCCAAAATGCAAACATGTTACATGGAAATTTCACTGGCATTGTGGCTATGAAATTTGAGTTTACAGTGCTGCATGTCTAGATAGCATGCTAGTTGCAATGGGCCACTGCCAAGGCTTACAAGTCAATTTGGTCAAAACACTGCATTTCTCAAGTCAATATGTATCTGACCATATGTCTTTCCTTTTTTTATCCAACTAGCCTGACCGACTCATATTAGACTATGGCATCAAGCGGTAAATCAAATAATATCAGTTTCTATTAAACATGTCATTTGTTCTCCATTTATATGAAAAACATGGAAATGTTCTGTGTTTATTTATGGCTTCTTTGAGAGGCATTTAGAAGTTGGAGTACTAAGTAAGGATAAGAATTTATGGGGGAACAACTTCTTTATTACAATTAAGAGCATTAATTGTAATAAAGAAGTTGTTCATCCATAATGTTCTGTGTTTATTTATGGCTTCTTTGAGAGGCATTTAGAAGTTGGAGTACTAAGTAAGGGTAAGAATTTATGGGGGAACAACTTCTTTATTACAATTAAGAGCATTAATTGTAATAAAGAAGTTGTTCATCCATAAATTCTTATCCTTATTTATTTATGGCATCAAGCAGTTAATCAAATAATATCAGTTTCTATTAAACACGTCATCTGTTCTCCATTTATACGAAAAACATGGAAATGTTCTGTGTTTATTTATGGCATCAAGCAGTTAATCAAATGAGATCACTTTCTCCTAAACATGTCATGGTTTTTTTGTTCTCCATTCATGTGAATATCTTGGAAAGCTTCTGTGTTTAATCCCAGGGACCAGTACATGATATGCATATAGGGCAACAAACAAACATGACAAACAAAGACATAAATACACAGGGGACAAACGAAGCATGTCATACTTCCATGTGCTGCGCATACAAACTTCATAAGAGATAGACCGCCTCTGTGGTCTAGTGGTAGAGCATCCGCCCAGAGAACGGAAGATCCGGGGTCTGATCCCCGCCGCGTCATACTAAACGATGTTAAAAGATGGGACTTCTTGTTACCCTGTCTGGTGCTCGGCATTAAGGGGCTATAACAAGGACTGGTCGGCTCAGAGTCAGTATACTGTGTCTGAGTGCGGCATGGTATCTCAGTGAGCTAGCACTATATAAATCGGCATCAGTCCGGACTAGTACAAGCAGCCACACACACACGTGCATGCATGCCGCTATATAAGTGCAATAATCTTGGACGCGACATTAAACCCCATTTCACCTCTCCTCATGAAAGATATTTTAGTTTTGTAGGTTTTGTATCTAAGTGTTGAAATTTCCACACAAAAGATCCTACAAGAGTGGAAAATATGTCTCCAACTTAACATTTTATTTCTTACAGCTCTCAATGCTACAGGCGAATCTATTTGACAGATGCAAACCCAAACACCCCAAAATGATCCTCGCAATAACTGTTTACCAAGTAGACTTTGCGTATAACTGAAGTTACATATCACGCAGGTCAATTTAACTTTAACCATAAACACGTAAAATGTTCAACTTCTCATGATCATGGTTACATTTCTTATTTAATGCCACACTCAGCAACATTCCAGCTCTATGAATCAATACATAATCGAATCTGGGCCAGAAATCAAGAGATTGATGTAATGAACAACAACATTCAATCAACCAAGTCACTGAGTGACAATCAATCCATTAAGTCATCTGTTACGACCAGCAATGGTTGCTAGGGGATGATTTTATACTGGCATCCCAAAAGGGCTGACATACTTATAGATCAACATCCATGTACATTCATATTCACTATTTCATTGAAATGGTCAGTTTCACTGATTACAAACCTCAGCAAGTCACATGAAACATATTTCTGAACAAACCTTTATTTTCATTTACATAAGGCTAAATGATGTTTCTGCCTCTGTCATGCTATAGATCAACATTCATCTGCATTTATAGTCACTATTTCTCTTCAAACCATGGCTCCATTGTCTTTGACCGTGTCAGTACACCACTTGACAATGACGGAACTACTTTTTTCGCAGTCCTTTACCTTGATGATAGAACAATTTCATGAAAAACGAGTGTTGCCAGCAGGATTCGAACCCGCGAAGTCTACACCGAAGGCCAACAAATGTAGTCTTATGCAGTACATTTTATTTTACTCTCAGCATTGTACAGTATGTGTGATTTGGTAGCTATTCATTCAACAAATTAGCTCATAATAGGCCAATATGGGCAAGAAATATTTAGGTTATTGGTAAATGTGCTCGTGTTGGTCCAAAATGAATGGTATACTTGCCCCGGGACATGCATTTCATAACCCGAGTGAGCAAAGTGCGATGTGCACATGCGAAAGGCTCAGGAAACATATTTCAAGTGCACCACTTGAGTGCTACTCACACAGTGTTCTTACAGTCAAGTATAGAGTTCCTGGATATCTTTCAAAATATCTTTAACAAAACAAAGCTATTTAAGCACTTTTGGCCCTATGAATGTTAGCCATGGTTTAATAGGTCATACCACTCGGATTCCGATGTTTAATCATTGAAATGGTCAGTTTAACTGACCATTTCAACGATTAAACATGGGATCCACATGGTCTAACCTATACTTAAGCATATCTCAAAAAAAAGAAAAAAAAGAAAAAAAAGATCAAACAAGACCTAAGTCCTGCATATATCAATAGCAGATGTTTGATTTGATTTCAAACCACAGCAAGTCACATGAAACATGAAACAGAAATAACATTTCTGAACCTCTATTTTCATTGACAACAAGCTAACTGATGTTTCTGCCTCCGTCATATCCTTTTCATTATTTATATATTCTACAGGTTCTAAGAGCTTTCCTAGCAGGAGTAGAGGCATTATAGGCTGAGACACGATATGGCTGAAATTTTGCCGATGTGACTATAAATATTCACTCACTCAAGTTGAGATGTAAGCCTGTTGTTGGAACCACATCACACTAAATTGTTGGTGACGACGTCATGAACTCTTGATGTCAGTATCTTCAATTATTTGTGTAATGTGCTCACATCACATCATGCTTCTATGATCGGCTTTGTAAACAAGAAAACAATGGGACAAGGACACAATCTTGCTAATTAGCATGAGCACAGTTATTGTGCTCAGTGAGAATCAAGGAAAATAGTTTCACCTATAGTCATGCCCCTATGGCATGATGGGAAATATACTACTCAAAAGAAGTTAAAGAACATCCAAATTTATCATGTGACTATAGTTAATCTGTCATGTGACAGTCATTTGAAAAATGTGTGTTCTTTAACTTCTTTTGAGTCGTATATATATAATTATATAACATATACTGAGTTTGAGAAAGATGTTAACTGTTGCTATAGTTACTTAAACTAGATGAACCAATTGTTGTTTCGTATCATGTTCATGTTAATGGCCATTAACCAGTTGTATCAATACCTTTTGGCAGTGACAGACCTGTGTAGTTCTCCCAGCCCACAACACATCAATTTGTGTGGTATTAAATTACTCTGTTAGTATCATAAAACAGTGTGTTAGTACCAGCTGGCAATGAACTGCCCCATGTACACCTGTCCTTTGAAAAGAATCAATACCTCTAACTGATGATGTCTCTATGTATTGGTCAGCTGGGAAAGGGAATTGGAATCCAGGGTTTGTTTGTTTGTTGTTTAATGCCACACTCAGCAATTTTCCAGCTATAGGACAGCAGTCTGAAAATAATCGAGTCTAGACCAGACAATCCAGGGATTGACATCATGAGCATCAATCCACGGGATCAATTGGGATACGATGATATGCATCAACCAAGTCAGCGAGCATGACCACCTGATCACATTAATTACCTCTTACGACAAGCATAGTCGCCTTTTACAGCAACATATGCTTGCTGAAGACCTATTCTACCCTGGATCTTCACAGGTCTACTGAAAGAAAAAACAACAACCCCAAAACAACAACAATAAAAACAAAAAAAAACAAAAAAAATCCAAAACGACCCCATAGTCTTCTCCCCTAAAAAGACTTTGGTAATAATAAGAACAATGTATTCACACCTGGAATAATAAATTACCTGTCCCTTGAGAATTAATGTTGAAAGTAACAAAACTAATTCGCTTAGATTAGATAATCCGAATTCCTCATATTCCCTAAATTGATAATAATCCTGATATCAGTTTAAGTTACATTCTACATCAGAATCCCTGATGCAGAAATGTGAATTGAAGTGTTGCGAGCAGTCAGAGATATTATATGACATGATGATAGTTATGTCATGAATATTCACTTGAAAAAAACCCCACTGTATTACATACACCAGAAGTTGCATGTAACAGTATAAATGTTATGTGTTGGACTCACACATATGGTGTGTCACTAAGCCAGATTGACATATTGTGGAAGATTTGTCAATTCTGTCATAAGATGTCATCTTGTGTATATGCCCTTAGTGTCATCTTGTGTATATGCCCATCTCATCTTGTGTATATGCCCTTAGTCTCATCTTGTGTATATGCCCATAG